AAAATGTTAAAAAAAAAAAAAAACATTCTAGGAGCATCAGTTATGTTTAAAATTAATATCTTTTATATATAATTCTAGAAATGGCAGGCTTGCGCATTTTGAAGTTTTATTTGGCGAAAAATCATGTTTTGTAATTTAGTTTGGATAAAAGAACGCTTATTCTAAATAAAAAATTTTAGGTTTGGACATTCCATAAATATTAAATAGTTAACTTGGTAATTTCATAATGCTTTGACTAATATAACCTTTAATTTATTTTCTAAAAACTGACTTACTTCTGTTTATATGGCTAATATAGCCCTAATTTTTTATTTTTTTTTAATCTCTAATTTTCCCAAATTGAATGTTATGATCAAAATAGAATCTTTCACTTTTCTAAATTTAATATTTTTTAATTATTCTTAATTTTTCATATCACTTCTATGAAATCGATATTTCTTAATTCGGTTTGTTTAGACATTCATATTCTATATAAAAAAAATAAGTACATATATCTACATAACATAAATTAAATCTCTTATCACTTTTAATTAAAAAATTGTAAATTGTTTATAAACTAGATGCTCGGTGAGATGAGAAAGCAATGTGTAGCAGTGGATTCAGGGGAATTGGGGCAGACTAAAGTTGAACTTGATAGTGCATATAAGGAAGAAGAGCTATATTTGAGATTGAAGTCCAGAGCTTTGTGGTTGAAGGAAGATGACAGCAATACTCGGTTTTCCATGCCTACACTACTCAGAGAAGGAGAATAAACTCTATTCATAAACTCACTACAAGGTCTGGAAGAGTGTGTGACAATCAGGAGGACATTCAAGGGCATATAACAGATTTTTATTCTTCTTTATTCACCTCAGAAGGCACTAATGGAGGAGAGAAGGTCCTTCAACATATTCCATCCAACATTTCTGCAGATATGAATGATGCTCTTATTACGCAGGTGGAGGAAGAGGAAATAAAAGATTCTTTGTTCAGTATGCATCCTGACAAGTCCCCTGGGGAGGATGGAATGTCTGCAGCTTTTTTCCAACACTTCTGGCAGATCATAAGAGGTGATGTGTGTTGTGCTTTTAAAAGTTATTTCTCCACTGGCTCTTTGCTTAAGAATTGGAACCATACTGTCATTACATTGATTCTTAAATACCGTTATCCTGATTCTCTGAGCAATTACAGACCTATTAGCTTGTGTGGAGTTCTCTAAAAAATAATTGCAAAACTTTTTGCTGAGAGACTCAAAGTTTGTTTGAATGAATGTGTTAGTCAAGCTCAGACTGTCTTTGTCCTAGGTAGACAGCTGATATGGGATATTGTACACTGGACCGGTTTGTCAGGGTCAACCGGATTAAAGCGGGTCAATGGTCTGGTCGAAAAGGACCTGACACTCGCGACCAAGGTAAGAAATAGAAGATAAAGAAGAGCCGATTCAGTGGCGTCGGGCAAATACCTGCTTCACTGGCCTCTGGTCGAGGAGAGCTCTGGTCGAGCAGCAGGATCATAGAGTCGACCACTTAGCATTCGAGGGACGATCCAGTAACCACGTCAGACTTGGTCGAATGACAGAATAAATAAGCGAATCTTCAGCACGTGAAAGGGGGACACGCGGCACGTTAAGAGTGGTCTAATGCAATAACAAACTCTGACATTCTCTTACACATTTGACGCGTTTCTGACACCGAGAGTAGTGGAGGCGTGCGACCGTACAGATGAGCAGGAAAAACGACCCACGCGACTCGCCTTAAAGGCGCGTATAAGCAGGTAGCTCGTCCCTATAAATAGGGACGAGATCTTTCACTCTACATAATCTCTCATACTCTTACATACTTAGATATATATTCTTATCTTCTCAAAATCTGACTTGAGCGTTGGAGGCTCTTCACCGAAAAACACCTCCGGTGTGAGTGTTACGTGCAGGTTTCGCGTTTTACCAGCGAGGAGAGCGAGCTCGAAACGATTTCCAGCCGGTCGGGGTGCGAGACTTGTATTATAGGCGCAGTCTATGGGAATTCTGTTCGAAAAGCTGTGTTGAGTGTTCAGATATGGTGGACGGAATTCCTCGTATGAATTTGCAGTCGTCGTTCGATGATGCGTGGACGAAGACCAAACCTATGGGGGTAGGTCCTCCACCTGGTTTCTCTGCGCCACTACAAACGCCGGTGACCCCAACACCGGCCCCTCAAGGTGTGAAGATACCAGGTGGAGAAGAGGGCACGAGCAGAGATCAGGAGGCTCGTGGTCCAACACCGGTGGCGGCCCTCGCGCCATCGCAGGCAAATCTGGGAGTGGCACATCAAGGAGGAGCAGGAGTGCAAGCGGTGGTGCCATCCACTGGGGGACAACAAGAGAGAGCTGTGGCACTTCCTGCTCAGCAAATGGTGACGATGACGAGGGAAGAGATGCATCGCATGATGGCCAATGCGGCAGCGCAAGCTATACAGCAGGTCACTCACCAGACGTCCCAGGCTACCGCTGCGCCGACCACGATGGCAAGAACTTAAGAGGACGATGTGTCGAGTTATGGTGGAGGAGGAGATCCCAGAGATAGGGCGATGGAGAGAATGGCTGAGCAACTCTGTCAACTGCAAGAAAAAGTGGAGGGGAGGCCGGACAGACATGCTCAAGGACATCCGTTCTCGAGGGAGATACTAGCTGCGCCATTGCCCGCGAGTTTCAGGGATTTAAATCTGATCTTCGATGGGTCGAGCGATCCATCGAGGCATGTGAGTGCGTTTGAGAATATGTCTGTTTTACACGGATACTCTGATCCAGTTAGCTGCAGGGCGTTCCTTTCGACCTTGCGAGGAGGTGCGCTCGACTGGTTCCATCAACTTGCTCCGGGGTCGATTAAGGATTTTGAGGATTTTGCTGGACAGCTCACCAATCAATACTCGAGCGCGGTGGCGCAAGAGAAGACATACCTCACTCTGATGGCGATGCGGCAGGACGAGAATGAATCTTTACGCAAGTACGTGGCCCGATACAACCAGATGTGTCTGGAAGTGCCTACGGCGGTCGACGAGGTGAAGGCGGGAGGTTTGATTAGGAGTCTGCGACCAGGACCCTGCCGGACATCGTTGGCAAAGACGCCTGCTCGAACTTACAATGAAGTGCTGGAAAGGTGCAAGAAGTACATCAATCTGGAGGAGACGGAGGGGGTTTGCTAAGCTCGAGGAGATGGCGAAGCCCAAGCCAAGGAAGGACCAAATTCACCCAGGAAGGAGTCACCTTGGAGAAATTCCCCAAAAAAAGGCCCATCCAGGAGGCTGTCGCCCAAGAGAGATAAGCTGGGCCCGAGGCGTTCTGGGCGAGAAGACCGATGGGAAAGATGACCTCTTTTGGGGAATGGCCAGATATACAATATGTTCACACCGATAAATGCAAAGGTTGGGGAGGTTTTAGTGGTGATCGAGGAAAAGTTGGAGAGTAATGAGGTCACTTGGCCAGCGGCAAGGTTCGATGGGCTGACACGACCTAAGTCGAGTAGATACTATAGGTTCCATCGAGATTATGGGCATACCACGGAGGGTTGCAGGAATTTGAAGGACGAAATTGAACGTCTCATAAGAGCTGGACACTTGAAAGAATTTGTCATCGACCACGTGGTATGGAGAAGAGGAGGTGCAGGGAGGACTCGATGGTAAGAAGCGATAGGGAGGATGATGGAGAGGACGATGCTCGTGGGGAGAGAGTTGGTCGATGGGGCGAGGAAGAGAAGAGGAAGGGTGTCAATGATGGTCAAGAGGGGCAAGGAGGAGGGGCCCCGGTGAAGAGGGGTACTATCTATATGATTTATGGAGGTCCGACTGACGGAGATTCGAACAACGGCAGAAAGGAGCATGCGCAAGCCCTTAAACGCAAGAGAGAGGAGGTCAGGAAAACTGGTCGAATGCCGGTGATCAGCTTTCGGGTGGAAGATACTGAGGGGATTTCCATACCCCACAATGACGCGCTGGTATTCACAGCGGAGGTGGCAGGGTTTGATGTGAAGAGGGTGTTCATCGAACGGGGAGTTCGGTCGATATGATGTTCTATGATTGCTTCGCTCAAATTAACAAACATTTGAATTTGGAGTTAAAGTCGGTAGCGACGACGTTGTATGGTTTTAATGGGGGTGAGGTGATGTTGATGGGCGAAGTAAGTTTAACGGTGGCGCTGGGATCGGGAGACAAGAAGAAAGTACGTATGCTGAGGTTCATAGTGGTCAGAGCAGAGTCATCTTACAATATCATTTTGGGACGAACAGAATTGAATGTGTTCCAAGCGGTCGTGTCTACATACCACATGACGATCAAGTATCCCGTGGGTGAAAATGTGGGCGAAATTGCTGGGGACCAACTTACATCACGGAGCTGCTATCAGACCACAGTCAGCAACAACAAATAGTTGGCAAAAAGCAGTCAAAGGGTGGTGAGGAATTGCCGGATCGACCAGGTGGGTCGAGATCGAAGGAGGAGAAAGGAAAGCAGGATAAGGGGAAAGAGAAAATCGACATGCAACCAGGAGGAGAGGTCGAGAAAATCCAGATGGTACAAGGGTGTGACGATCGAAAATTTAGAATTGGGAACGAGCTGGAGGAGCCGATCATGACCAGGTTGGTCGATCTAATATGGGAGTTTACGGATATCTTTGCCTATACTACGGAGGAGCTGACGGGATTGACGCAAAGGTTATCGAACATCGACTAAATATTGACCTCGCTGTGAGG